ATGCGTTGTGCTTGGGACAGCTCATTGAGGCCGTTGAGAGAGTTAGGAGTAGATAGGACAGTGGCTTGTGTGCCAAGCAGCCTGATCATATACCCGTGCGCATTGATTTCAAATGGGCCAGGCGGGGCACGGCCAACAAATCATCCCACCCCCGCATCGATGGGGCTAAAAACACGGACACCAGGTGCGTTGATGCGTTTTTAGGGCTGCTGTTTCTGGCTGTGAAATTCCCAAGAGGTCCAGTGGGGGTTGATGGGCATCTTGCTGGGGTGGTTGACAGTCTGCGCGAGGCCGCGGCTCAGGCGTTTCCCCTTGAAAAGAGGAGGGCTCGGGCTTATTGCCTCTTCTCGTCCGCTCTCTCCCTCGTCGTCACTAGGCGGGCTGCGCAAAAAAACGTGGACCAAACGGGCTTTTTGTTCGGGGGATTTCAGGGGGTCTCCGCAGAGGCGATCTGGCTGTGGCGAGCATGGGGGACATCACTGGATGGAGCAAGCTGCGTCTTGACTTAGGTTCGAGGACGGAGCTGTTCCTTGACATTAGATTGCGCATTGATTTCTTCCTGTGTGTTTTGAATGATTTTCGTTTAGCGTCGCAGGTGAAGCGTATCGAGGGCGTGCATCAGGACAGAGCCCGATTCCTTGTGCCGCAAGTCAAGGGTGTCACGGTGGGTATTGACGGTCATATTCCAGCCAAAGGTGGGCGTCTCTCGACACAGCTCGCAGGTTCCGGGGGGAGCCCCCGAGCAACCTTTTACTTTCCCCGACGTGCTGGCTGATCAGGGACGCGCGGCCGCGACGCAGGCCCATTTGGCGCACGTTGCCCAGGGGTTTTCTGCCAACGTTGAAACCGCCAACTCCGCCAGCCAGCAAAATCTGCTTGCTGAATATAATGAAGGCAGCACTGCGGCCAGTGATAAGATCCTCCCCCCGAGATTGTGGATCTCCCCTTGCATGCCGACGTCAGAGGATTGTAAACAAAGGGCCCAGCGGACAAAGCCGCGGGACTGGGCAGCATCGTGGGGGAGCTTGGCCAGGTTGCCTGGGGGTCTGTCTCGCGGCTTGTCTACCCCTCGTCACTCAAAACCACCCTCCTTCAGCGGGGGCCGTTAGGTTTTCAAATCGGGGTGGTGGTGTTTCTTTCCGCGACGAGAAGGGGGCCGCGAATCTCATGGGCAACCGGGGGAACGTGCTCCTTGGAAGCGCGATTGCCAAACTTTACCACGAGTGCCTTCGCTCCGTTGCCATGAAGTTTTCGCAGCAAGCGTTGCTGCATATGCGCTGTGGAGGGCCCCTTGGCCGAGGATCCGTCCTGGTGGTGCGACAGTTTTGGGGTGCGGCTCGTGAGTGCTCCGTGTCCCCTGGGGGGATTTTTGTTGACCTCCATGCTGCCTTTCATTCTGTCCTCAAGCAATTGTGCCTCTCACTTCCCGCTGGGCAGGGCAGGCTCGAAGATGCGCTCCAGCGCGCTGAGGCGAACCCCTTCCTCCCAGCGGGATTGGGGGCTGAGTTGGCCTCTGGAGGGCCACTTGATGCGGTGGGCGTGTCCCCATCTGCTCTTCAATCTGACTCGTGACAGTTAAATGGGGGGCTTTTGGAGAGTGAGGGGCACCTCAGATTTCGCGTGCCTTTGAACTCAAGCGCGCTTTCAGGCGCGCTCCTTTTACGCGACGGGCCCGATGTCCACGCGCAGTGCAAGGGTGGGGGTTTCAAACTCTTTCGGGCCACGTGATCTTGAGCTGGAGGGCGAGGCCGCTGAAGCCTCTCGGGCCCCTGAACGGACCGCCCTTTCGGCGCCGCCAGCACCGCCAGACCCGCCGCCTGGTGGATATGTTCGTTATGAGTGTGGCCACGTGGCCAAGACGATGCGTTTTTTCGCGCCCATCGCACCAGTGCGCATCGAGGCCTTGACGCATCCGAGGCCATGGCCACGGGGTCGATGTGCTCGATTTGTTGTTGGGAGTTCTGGGGCGGCAGCAGGCCTGTGAAACGCCCCAGGAAAGCCCCATTTTGCTTCCAGGTCTGGCTTGACTCCCCTTTGAGATCCACGGAAGATGAAGTTATTGCTGCCGTCGATGAGAGACGGACCGAGACCAGCGATACTATGTGTTAAGGTTTCTCCGACACTCGGGCCGACATCCCTGCCCAGAGAGTTCAGGGGCCCCTTTTTAGACCCCTCGTCAAGAAACCCAGAGAACAGCAGATCGTTCCTCCTCTTGCTCCCACCGGTTGGGTCAACTACAGCATGCGCCAGCCTTCCGAGCCAGTTTGTTTGAAGCCCCAGACCGACATCGTCTATCTTGGCAGGGGGTGGGAAGAAGGATCCCCCCGCGCGCGTGCTTTCAACGGAGTCTGCGACAGTTGTTGGCCCTCTCGCTCTGCTGTCTCGCCTTTTCCCAACCTCAAGGAGTTAGAGGAATGGAGGAAGTAAGAGGATCAGTGAAGGTAATGTTGCAGGCCTTTTTTTCTTGAGCCCCCTTGCAGCGTTTGGAGAGATGAAGTGTCCAGGCGCGATGGACACATGTGGGGTCACCCTCGAAATAGTGCCAGGACGACCGATCGGATCTTCCAAGGCAACTCGCTCCTTCAGGCTGCCCATGCAGTTCTTCTACAGTTGCTTCATGAGTGTGCCCGTTGCCATATTTTTACTTAGATCCGCTTATGGAGGACCTGATTTGATGCAGATTCCGAAAGTGAAGTTGTTGTCCAAAATCCTTGGAACCCTGCGGACTGAGTTGGATGCGTGTGCATTCGGGACCAGGCACGTGAATCCCTGCATTCTGTCAGTCCATGGAATTGCATCCTTGGACGCCGTTCGTCCGGACTTGTTTCGCTGGTTGTGCCCGCATATTTGCACCCATAGTCGACCTAAGTTGTTGAGTGGATGTTCTGCCTCCGCCTCTTTGGTTGGACTGAATTTGGCCTTGCTCGCCCAAGGCGTGTTGGCCAGGCCTGACTCGTCGACGCTTGAGTCGCCTTCGTCACCCCTCCCCCTCTCTGCACGTGCATGTTCGGGGGTCTGTCTTCGCCTTTCTGTTCCCCTTTTACGTGTGGGCTTCGAGCCTAGTATGCCTTCATTTAGCGAGCGAGGAGGAGGAGGAGGAGGAGGGGGATGATGATGATGATGATGATGATGATGACGATGACGATGACGATGACGATGATGATGATGCTGCTGCTGATGATGATGATGATGGTGATGGTGATGATGATGAAACTGATTATGATGATGATGGTGATGATGGTGATGATGATGACGATGATGATGATGATGATGATGATGATGATGACGATTCTGATGATGCTGATGATGATGAGGAGCAGGAGGAGGAGGAGGAGGAGGATGAGGAGGAAAAGGAGGAACAGGAGCGCTGGCATCAGTTACTCGCGCGCGTCCCAGTACCATTCAAGGCGCTTCCTGCAGCGTCGCGGTGAGGCTCGATGACGCCCACGTGCACGCATGCTTCACAACTGTCGGGAGGCTGGCCCACGCGCCCACCATTGAACAACCGAGCGGAGAGCATGAGGCTGTCAATGAATTGGATGTGGCGTGTATGTGCACATCATACGTCCCTCCCCCTCTGCATGGTGGCAGCATTCGCCAAACGTGCCCCGTTATGCTAAGCTCGTCAGCGCAGTCCCTCTGTGTAGCCGCCGACGGAAAAAGTATGTGCACATCGTCATTGCTGGACTTTCTTCTGCAGCGTCTTGCCATCTGCTGGTGGGGAAGCATGCCGATACAGGACTTCATGCCACATGGAACTCTTGTCGTCTCACCGACCGCCAAGGTGCTGGTCGGTATTCGCAGCATTGAGGCGCCGAGGGCCAAGCAAAGGCGACCCGACGTGACGGACACCGTGATCGCGAACCCAAGGATCATGTCGCGCCTTTTTGGTACCAGGGCCATGGACTGAGACAAAGGCGGATCTTTTGCCTGGCTTGTAGTTGAATTGATGCCCGCGCTTGGCCATGTTGTTGGCCACCAGGATGAGGAGGGGCTCCAACCTCGCCACAGTCGAAATGGCAGGGCCCAGAATCAGCAGAGCACCGTCATCCGCAAAGGCCACGCTGCTAATGGTACTCGGCTCCCCAAGCTGGGTAGGGTCAGCCTGATGCACGGCACGGGGCGGGGACATGCTGGCGGGTAGGACCACGGTGACCCCTAACTCCCTCATGGCGTCGTCAGCTTTGACCAATGCAGCAGCAAGCATAAGATCATACAGCAGATCTGCTATGGGGCTGGCCTGTTCAGAGAGACCAGTGCGGAAGGTTAAAGTGGAGGCTGAAGCACATGCTAACCATGGTACTTCATAGTGCTTCGATGCCTGCGCCTGCACTGCCTTGGAAACGCCCGCCTGTTCAAGCAGCGGCGCCTGCTCCTGCGCGGCCACTTCGTGCATAGCTTCGAGCGGGGGCCCCGCGGCCTTGACGATGCGGGCGATGTTCTCGTCGGTCAGCCCGGTGTCCGTGATCAGCTCACGCAAGGCCTTGTGGTAGACAGAAGCAGCGTCGATGAAAGGGGATCCGAATGACAGCTTGCTGGTTGCTGCCCAGTCCTGCACCTGGCGCACTGTCGGCGCATCTTGCATGGTGCCACGCTCAGGGAGCCCCACAAACTGAAAAGGGGGCCAAGGAGCTAGGAGAGGAATGGAGGGAAAGATGTGGGGGTACACGGGAAGGGGGACTGGGGGGGAGTGAAGGAAGGACGGAATGAAGTTAGGAAGGAAGGAAAGTGATATTTGCATTGGAGCAAACGGACCGACCAACCAGCAGGGCCAGTACCTGCGCACATGGGTGTCTCACACGTCGACACTGTCACGACAGACGATGGGGCAGGCAGGAGGGATTTGTGGATGGAAGGCGAGAGTGGGAGAGATGGGGAGGGAGGGATGGAGGGAGGGAGGGAGAAAGGGAAAGAGACGGAGTGACGGAGGGAATGAACGGGGGAGGGAAAGGGATGGAGGGAAGGAGGGAGGGAGGGAGCCAGATGGATGAGGGCGGCAGGACGACTCGGACCCGCTCTCGCCAAAGACGGTGCGCCCGAGTGCGAGCAACCCCAAGAACTGGAACAAGGGGGAGTACTGCCCGATCGTGGACCGTGACATGCCCGAGGCCATCGGAGGAGGGGGGAGGAGGAAGAGGAGGAGGAGGGCGAGGAGGTGGAGGAGGAGGAGGTGGTGGAGGATGAGGAAGAGCATGCCTGCCGTCCGCGTAAGCTACACGTCCTGCTGCTGAAGCCCCCGCTCATGCTGTTGCTGGTGCCGCTCCTCTTCCTCCCTCCTTCTGCTCCTCCTCCGAGCCACCGAGTTAAAGCTCAGCATCGGCGCTGGTATACTCATGGTCAGAAGCTTGCCTAATCTGGCATAATCCTGGCTAGTCTGGCTTAGTCCAGCTCGATTCCTCTCAGTACCACGCATCATCTGGCCTAGTCTGGCTTAATGGCCCCTTAGCCTGGCGTAGTCGTCGCTAACCGTTCCAGACCCTGGATTTCTCACCCAACGCTTCCTTATTTATCCAATGCCCTCACCGCAGCCTTCAATTGCTCTTGCGAAAACCACCCGGACCAGACACTTGGCGTTTACTAAACGGTCCTGGGCGTTTGCTGAACAGCCCTGCCCTGCTCGATTCCTTCTTGGGCGCGTTTACGAAACGGCTTCGAGTGCCGGGGTGATTATTATGGGGGTCGATTTTCTGCCCTTTACAGCCAAGACGCGGGATTTGCTTGTGGCCTAGGCCCACCGTGGCCAGAAAAGCCCCTTGGTTCCTTATTTGGCGCTCCTTCTGGTAGTACCTCGACTGTGCTCTGAGCTCACAGTGGCCCGTGAGGTAATTACACCATCGGGCCCGATGGCGCTCCCCCGTCGGCCTGCTGCCCGGCGTCCTGGAAGGCCGAGCTCGCTGCCCGCGTCGGAGACCTCTCGGCGAGCAGCAGCGAGTTCCGCTTCCCCCTCGGGCCCCGAATTTGGTCTTGCTCCCATGACCACTTTCTATCCTGCATCGTCGGGGGATCTCATGTCCTAGAAATGGCGGTATTGCATTGTGTCCGACGTGGTGGATTCGACGCGGGTCCGACGTGGATTCGACGCGGATTCGACGCTTATTCGACGCGGATTCGACGTGGATTCGACGTGGATTCGACGCAGATTCGACGCGGATAGCAGCGCGATGGGCCAGACACGATTCCCCGAATATGCAACATGACTTTGGCCCCGATCTCGGTCCTGCTCCCACGGCACTTTTTCCTGCCACTCCTGCTCCCTCTCCCGCTGCCGCTTCCCCGCCTCGAGGGCAGAAGCACAACGACCGTGAACAAGATGACGCTGGATCTCGTCGATTGAGACCTTGGCCGTGGCTCACGCCTGCCGTCTGCCGTCGCCGATCCGCGAGGATGATCCACGACCTGACGATGACGGAGAACGGGCAGTGACCAAGATCGGCACCCTCGTGTTCGCCTTCAGTCTTGGTCATGGTCCTCGGTCCCTTTCCCTCCGCCACTCTTGCGCTGCCCTCTGCCACTCTTGCGTTCCCCCGAGGTCTGCGAGTCGCTCTGGAGCTTCCGGCAGCTGGAGGGCATCACCGTTGCTCGTCTGAGCGACGAGGAGGCGCAGCTGGGTCGGGCCAGCACCCAGTTCTCTCGACGACGGTTTTCCTTGATGGCGTTCGGACCCACCACGTAACTGGGAGGAGGGCAGGAGCATGAGGGGTAGCAGCAGGCTGTACAGATGATGACGATGATGACATCGACGATGACGATGATGACAACGATGACGATGACTATGACGATGACGATGACGATGGCGATGATGACGACGCTGACGACGACGATGACGATGATGGTGGTGCTGCTGCTGCTGATGATGATGATGATGATAAGAGATAACAGTGGAAGTTGTGGTTGAGGTGATGATGGTTTTGATGATGATGATGATGATGATGATGATGATGATGATGGTGATGATGATGATCATAATAACGATGATGATGACGACGATGAGGTTGAGGATTCTGCTGCTGCT